TCAACTCTTCAAAGTTGATAACTTGTAATCTGTTGTAAGCTAACTGGCTAACTAACTAGACGATGGACTCTGTTTATGCTCATAATGGAAGCTTAATTGACTTGTCTCTGCCCATGCCCTCTGTTCTAATTCCTGGCCACAGCAGAATGGGTCCTTTTCACCTGCGGGCTATGCTGGCAAAGGTGGGGGCAGCGCCTGACTGAGCGAGCAAGTGGAGGACCTGGTGCCGGTCAGTGGGGTCCTTGCCTGCTCCTCTGTGGTCCTGGGATGTTCTGTCACTGAACTGCTGATAGGCCGTCAGTGTCAATGGTACGAAGAATAGTGCTGTGAGCTTCTCTGCTCCTCATCTTTGTTTCTTTTCTTTGTCAGGATGAATTTCTGGAAGCGAGCTTAGTTCTCAGTGCATATTTCCAAGTTGCTTTGTCAGTGAGTCCTCATCTTGGGCTTTCGGTGCAGACTAGAACACACTCCTGCAGTGTCCACACCCGCACCCCAGGGAACCCATGGGAGCTGTGAAGAGTGGGGCACAATTCAGTTTCTTTTTTTTTTTTTTTTTTTGGAGTTGGAGTCTCACTCTGTTGCCCAGACTGGAGTGCAGTGGCCGCTCCCGGCCACCGCAGCCTCGAACCTGCCGGGCTCCAGTGATCCTTCTGCCTCAGCCTTTCAATTAGCCAGAATTACAGGCATGCGCTACCACGCCCAGCTGATTTTTTGTTTATTTATTGGAGAGATGAGGTCTCGCTGCCTAGGCGGGTCTCGAACCCGCGGGCTCAGGCAATCCACTCACCTCAGCCTCCCAAAGGCACGGGATTACAGGCTGAGCCACTGAGCCTGGCTGATTCAGTTTCTTTACGTAGGGCCATTGAGACTGTTTTGTGTCAACTAATTCCTCTTTAGGATTTCCAGTTTGTGTCCTTTGTTCAGCTTTCCGTTGAGTTTCAGGCCTTCCACAGCACTTCATGGTTGCTCTGCGGAGTGCAGGTGCTGGCCCTTGGTGGCCGTGCCAGCTGGAGACCCTTCCCCATGTCAGCTTGTTATCATGGGCTTTTGTGTGCCTGGAGTTGTGTCCAGTGCTCAGCGTTGGGTGACTTCTTGTGCTTTCATCTTGAGGGATACACCGACATCTGTTTCTCTAGTTCTTCTCTGGTTGGAGTTGATGTTTGAATGGCCTCTCCCATCAACTTTCATGGCACTTACTCCGGTATGGGATGAGCGCTGAGGATGGAAACACTGTGAGGCCACCTCTCTCCTTCTTTCTTGCTGCATGTTGGGCTTCCCCGGTAATGCAGAATTCAGGGCCCTGAGGTTACTGGCCTGTGAGAGCTCTGATCACCCTGGGCTCAGAGTGACCTTTGGCCCCCCACAGTGAGTCTCTAATATAATATAATTAGTAAGTCTACCCTTGATTGTTCTTGCTGATCTTTACTTGATAGTAAGTGCTTCTGGGATAGGCTTACTTCTGGAGTGACCTGTCTTTTTTTTTTTTTAATTTATCAATATTTTTTATTTTGATATTGTAGGGTACAGTTAAGGGTTAGGTATACAAATATGCTTCATTCAGGCCCCCTTGTTGATAACAGGTGTCTCCC